TGGGAGGAGGAGAAGGGGGGAGAAGGTACAGAAAATAAGTAGCATAGACAGTAGATAGAAAATAGAAGGGGGGCAAGGATAGCATGGGAAATATAGAATCTAAAGAACTTGAGACACATGGTCATAAACTAAAGGGGGGTAATGGTGGGGACGAGGGTAGGGTGGAGGGGAATGAAGGGGGAATAGAACAACTGTAACAGCATAATCAATAAAAAATTAAATAAAAAGATATCTCCATTATTGTAAATTTGGAACTGAATGCTATCAATATGTATGGATATTATGAAACCTCTTAGAGCATTGAGGTACATGAAGAAATGATACATATGTCACATCTATAAGTCCCTAATCCTAAAGAAATGAATTCTGTGGGATAGAAAACATGAATGTAGGAAAATCCAAGAGAATTATGTACCAAAAAATATGTTTGACAGAGTACAAAGTTCATAAATCCCAGGTAGGCACTTATAAAGGGTGGAAAACAACAAAAGCTCTCATTTATTGCTGATAGGAATACAAATGGTTCAGGCCACTTTGGAGACAGTTTACAGTTTCTTTACAAAGCTGAATATAGTCTTAGCATACAATACAGCAATTATACTCATAGTTATTTGCCCAACTGACTTTAAAACTTATGTCCACACAAAAACTTGCTAATAAATATTTATAAAGCTTAATTGATAATTACCAAAAACTGGAGCTAACCAAGATGTCCTTCAATAAGTGGATGGATAAACTGTGGTACACCCAGACATTGGAATGTTGTTCCGCAATATGAAAAAAATGAGTTATTAAGCCATAAAAGAACATGAATAAACTTTCAATACATATTTCTAAGGTAAAGAAACCAGTCTGAGAAGGCTACATGTTGTATGATTCCAATTATATTACATTCCATAAGAGGTAAAACTAGAAACAGTAAATATCAGTGGTTACCAGAAGATTTCAGGGAGGTGGAGAAGTTTAAATAGGCAATGCACAGGGAATTATTGAAGGTAGAGAAACTATTGCATATGATACTGCAAGTGTGGATTCATAAAACTATCCTATCAAAACCCACTGAACTTTGAAGCGCAAGGAGTTAATCTTAATGTATGCAAATTTAAAATTATCCTTGATGAGGTCAAAAGAATCCCAAGATGAAATGGAGAATGTGACAAAACCAGCTAACTATATTACAAATATATAGAACAAGCTGTCGGAAGGAGGTAGGAGAATAAGTTGCAGAACTGAGTAACTTGGGAAATAAATGGAGTTTAAGATTACAGATAAGAAGAGCTGCACAGAAAAACTAAGCTCTAGTTTGATAAAGTTTTTTCCATTGGTAGGGATTAACTATTTGATATTTTTATACGCATAAACAAGAACTGAAAAAGTAAGTAAACAGATGGCAAATGGTGAGAGCCAGACTTGTCATTATTGAAGTGGGAATTTACAGTTAAGCAAGTGAAGGTAGCAAGAACAATGCATATGTTACAGTTCAAATTATTTTTAGATATGTGTATAAAATTGGTTATACACACATATATTACCTTTCTATGTCAGCTATCAGGGCCAAGAAACAAAACTACCCTAGTAGCAATGCACACACATAATATCAAAATTTGTTTTCTAATACCATCCTCTAGTAAGTGAACTTGGGCTCCTTTGAGATGTAGCTGAGTCAAGACTTGGGACAGGAAATAAACAAGTTGAAACTGAGCAACTTATACTGCCAAAAAGAAATAAAATGCCAAACAGAAAAAGAAAAACCCACAATTATGGGACTATGCCAAAGGGACATAATATTCCACTGAGTTACCAATGGCCAAATTTGGGAGATTTGAACAACCCATTAATTATAGTATCAGAGTATAACCCAAAATGTAAATGAAATATTCATGAGTTTATGATGATGTAAATAAAAGATTGAATAAATTAATAAAAGAAGACAAATCTTCCTTGCATAAGAATTTCAAATATTTTATGAAGCTATTCTACCCTCAGGGAGGGGATCTTGCCACTCAGTAAGTGTGGGTAAAGCATAGAGTGACTTTATTTCTAAAGAGTACTAGGTGAAAATGAGGGGAGGAAGAGTACTTATATAGTGGAGAAACCTGGCCAGCACTACCTCAGCCTGAAAATCAATACAGATGTCATGCTAATGGTCATGTGTCCTGATATGATGAAAATGGTGCTTTACTTCTGTGCTTTTCCTGAACAAGCAGTGTACATATTTCTTTTGACTTCCTCAAACTATTTCTGATAATCATTACAGATTGACACTATTGCTATACTATTATTTTATGACATAAAACACTGCAAAATGCCATTATGATGGTTTGCATTTTCCCCATCATGGTAATAATAGTGAGATCACTATTTCAGTCCTAATTTGCAACATTTAGTTTGGTATTATTTTGCTGAGCACTTCTCCATTGCATAAAAAGAACATTAAGAAAGAAGTGTGCTGTAACCTTCTACTATAAAAGCAAATCCAACATTTTCTTAAGAATATATGGGTCAGTGATTTTGCCAAGTAATATTGAGTGTTTAATATCATCATGCTGTTTATAATTGCATTGTTCTAATTTTCACACCTGTGAATAAATACAAATATTTTAGTTTGGAATGTGAAACATCTTCACTATGAAGAGAAAATTGGAGAAAACAAAAAAATGCCAAAAACATATTCAAATGTAATGTCTTAATGATACAAATAATCTCTCCCATCGTACTCTTGGTCCCAAAGGAAGAGCAAAAATTGGTCAAAGATGACAAGTCTTAAAGCATGAGCTGCCCAAGTAGGTGACAATCAGGAAATAGTCCTACAACAAGAAGCTGAAAGGAGATAGCAAAGGTGATTAGATATTTAGGATTGACTGTGATACTTGCTGGAGAAAAATTGTGCCTTATTTAGTAAAAGTTATTTGAAACTCTCTAAAGTTTCCATAAGAAATCAGCTTTTCTTGTTTTCAAAAGTGTAGTTTTAAACATGCAAGTAGTTTTAGATATGCTGGCACTTTCAAAGATGGAGCCTAGATAAGAGTGATTTGAGGCAACTTTGGTGCAAACTTTAAGAAATTGTTTTCTCTCAGGGTTACAAAAATGCCAAAATTTCACTAAGAATGAGTTTCTCCTTGAGTTTGCACCCTACATACCTCATTTGCCTCACTGTAGTTTGGGCCTAGTTTAAAAAATGGACCTTTATATGCTAGATGTTATCTGACTACTTAAGAGAAGAAATATAACATTATTTGATATTTCTAAGTCAGTATTTGGTCATTCTTTGTGCATTTTTTTTTGTTAAACAGTCCACTGAATATTTCTGTAATGTTATAAAAGAAGGAAAGCACTATATATATAGTTTACCTTCAAAACATAAAGATAGCATGTAGGAAGAAAAATCTATTATAACATGAAACAAAAAGAGACCAATAGCAAATGTATGTCTTCATAGGGCAAGCTAAAATTATGTATAACATTACTTAATTATAGAGATTCACTGAGTGGGCATTTGAAATTACAAATTTAAAATGTAATTTTAATTGCATATGTTTCTATATCAGGTCATGAATGTGCGTAGAACTTCAAGTGAATTTCTTGACTTAAGACAGCTATAGGTTTATTTTTTTAAATTCCAACTTAAAAGTAGTACGTATATGGATTTGATTTGCTGTAGATTAGGACTGAATTATTTAGCTATGCCCCCATGAGAAAAAGTAATACTGCACAGAGACTGGGTAAATATCTGTGTTAGTTTTATTTGAGATGATACTCCTTTATTTGGTAGGCAATACTCCTTGAATCCATGTCTTTTTTGAGGATTTCAGTCCCTGCATCTTATAGTTCTAAAGCTATAGAACTATAGCTTTTTGGAGGAGGACAAGGAGACAAAATGAAGGAATTAATAAATACAAATTTATAGTCACAAAATAGTTACAGGGATGTAAAATACACATAAAGAATATAGTCAATCATACTGTAATAATAGTGCATTGTTAGATGAGTACTAGACTTATTGTACCATCACTTTCTAAGTTATGTAAATGTCTGACCACTATGCTCTACAACTGAAATTAATATAATATCAATTTCAACTATAATTAAAAATAAAACATAATTTTTTAAAAGATTTTATTTATTTATTTTTAGAGCTAGGGGAAAGGAGGGAAAAAGAGACGGAGAGAAACATCAATGTTTGGTTGCCTCTCACTCACCCCCTGCTGGGGATCTGGCCTACAACCCAGGCATGCGCCCTGACCAGGAATCAAACCAGTGACCCTTTGGTTCACAGGCTGCTGCTCAATCCAGTGAGCCCCACTTGCCAGGACAAAACACAACTCTTTTAAAAGAAAAAAAATTAAATTGTTAAAATTTCAAAACAATAATAGCAACAGAAATATTTTTAGTAGAATAAATTTAGAAAATCAAGTATCGTTTTCAATAAATGATGAGCAGTCACAATAAGGGGAACAGAGAAGTTAAAACCATGTGTGTTTGCACAAGAGAGGCAGACAGCTAGAGACATAGAAAGAAACATACAGGGGATGCATTTATTATAAATACATTGGTCTCTTTTCCCCTGAAGTCAGAAACCTCTTGTGTCATAACTTCTTTGAAAAGCCAGGTTTATTACTGCTCCTTCCTTTTTTCCTATCCTTTATTTGTGGATAACCACAAGCAATATTTAGCCCTTTGAGATTTTGAATGTTCATATTTCTGGATTTGTTACCACTCTGCTAAAAATCTCTTTCATTACTCTCCTCTTGTTTTTTCAATGCCAAATTTTCAATTAGGTGCTAACCCTAATAGTACAGCTAACCCTCTTAGCTGGAAGTACATTATGCTTGTTAGGGCGAGGCTTTGTAATCTATTTTACTTACTGAAGTATCCCTTTTAGGTATGGTTAACAGTTCAGATACAGGACACCCAGTTTAGTTCTGTTTGATTTTCAGGTAAATTGGCCTCTTTCTACCCCAAATATTGTAGGGGACACACTTATTTTAAAAATTATTCTTATACTTACCTGACAGGAGAGATACCATGATCACAAAAGTGGTTTTCCCAGGGCGAGGCTTATGCACGGCACTCTGGATGTGCTGACCCCTACGATTTCCCCAAATGTGGGAAGCTCAACTTCCTAATTTGTGGTATTGCAGGACTGCATTCGCTCTCTCCTCTGACAGAAAAAAGGATATCCTTTTGTCTAAAATTTGAATTACACTGGGTGTTTATTTTTTATTTTTGCTTGCTCTAGAAATCTTACTTCCAGGTAAAGTAAGACAGCATTATGCAGCCCTTATGTACTCATTCCACTTTCACAAATTTTATTCTACTTAATCCTTATAATAACTCTGTGATGTCTGAATAATCATCCCCATTTTATTAATGAAGAAATAATCTCAGAGATTTGCACAAGGCCATAAAGCTAATGGCTGGCACATTCAGGATTCAACTACTTCTGTGACATGAAACACAATAGGACTCTCACTCCACAATACTGTCTCCCCCTTAGTCTTTCCTATTTTTCTTACATAATACAGAACACACAAAAAGGAAGTTAATTCTTCTTACTCAGTGTGTTTTAAAATATACTTTTTCCCTGCTGAAAATGTAAATTATGGAAACTTTTGGGCATTCATATAGGTGTAGAGAATAGTATAGAGAACTCCCAGGTACTCATCACCCATCCTCAACAATTAGCAACATTTTTACCCAATCCTATTTCATCTGTTCATTGTCTCCCTACTTTTTTTCCTACAGTATTTTCAAGACACCATATCATTTAAGTTCTTGTTATTGTCACAAACTTGGTCCATAATTACATCATAGTTAACTATTAAACAACCATTCTTACTCATCTTGTAACTGAGCAAACTGTGGCTCATGCACATGGCACCTCAATACATGACCCAATAAGTAGTGTTGGAAGAAACAGGTTTTTATTTACAGGATTTCAACCTTGGTTGGGGGGCTGGGAGCACTTCTGCTCAGAACCCTTTTCTCCCATGGTACCCAACAATTCCCTTTTTCCCCACCAGGCTATCAGTGAAAATCATGCCCAGAAGTTCCCCACATCCTTATTCATTTCTAAGCCAGTTGTAAGAACAGTTCTCCATCTCCTATGGAAAGTACACTTGTGGGTTTCAAAATCACTATCTTCTCAAAGCAGCTCTACCCTTCAGGATCTGGGTTGCACTGTTCTTAACCCCCATGTACTGGTTTAAGGAAACATGTGCCATGATACACTGGATCATGGTGTAGTCCAGGGAAACACACTTCCTAAGAGAATGGTTTTTCTATACATCCTCCAGAGAAGCTGACACCAGCATTCCTTTGTCACAGTTCAGCATTCAAGGCATCTCCCACTAACATGTGCCTAGTTCAGCAGATTCTCGCAATTCCCAGCTCCATCAGATTTGCCACATATATATCCTTCAGGCAGGTTTCCCACACAGTCTCCTTTTTCCTACTCCAGCTTCTTTCTCATCACAGATTGGCATGGTTGCTCCCTACACTACAGTCTGCATAGCTGTGTCTCCTCGTGGCTGCTTCCCTTTTAAACCACATGGTTGCATCTTTCTCTCTCCCATGGTAGACCAGCTCCCCTTCTCTTTCAGGCTGTCCTTACTTTAAGTGCTTACTTGGAACTACCTATGTGACCTTACATCCAGCCCCTTCTACAATGGGCACCTTTGCCAGTTGCCCTGAATCTTTACTTTCATTCTGCTTCCATCTTTAATCAGGGCAAGAGTACCCCCTGACACGGAGCCTTCACCTCCTTGCCTCTCACGTAGGTAAGGTGTAAGTTTCTTGGCTATGTCAGGAGTTGCTATATATTCTGAAAGTCACTGTACTTCTTTTGCCCTGGACAGTAGCACAGCTATTATCTTGTCTTTTGTTATGCAAAGCATCTTAAATGCTATATCATCCCCTTCCCTCAAACCTCAGTTATGGGCTGTGGGGGACTTTTTGGATCCCTCACTCTGCACCCCATTACAATCTTATGCTACCAATGTCTTTATACCTAATTACTCTGTGTATTTTTGTGTCAGCCTAATTAATTAATTTGAGATTAGATCTCCTTTCTCACACTGGTTCTCTTTAGCAAAAAAGTTTACTACAAATACCTTTACTCTCTTAGAATTTTAAAACTATTCTTAAATATGTAAAAACATAAAAACCATACCAGAGTTATTTAATAGTTGTTTTTAGCAAATCATGAAAAGTAACTTAAATAAATGTTGATTTGGTGTTACCCAAGCACTTACAAAACTTATTAAGCACTCTAGGTTGAGGGGGAAGGGAGGAATGGGGGAAAGGTACAGGGAAGAAGAAACATAATTTGTAGGCATAAAACAGATGGGGAGAGGTCAAAAATGGTATAGGAAACAGAGAAGTTGAAGACCTTATATGTACGATTCATGGACATGAACTAAAGAGGAGGAGGGATGGAGGGCTGAAGGGTGCAGGGTGGAGGGGGGATAAAGGGGAAAATTGGGAAAACTGTAATAGCATAGTCAATAAAATATACTTTTTTAAAAATCAGTTTTTATTTTGCAAAAAGTGGTGAGGTGAATTCCTTCCTTTTACCTTTATGGAAATGAACTTATCAGAGAACTGAAAGGTATATGGAATTTTGGCCTTAAATGTAATATGGAAGAATTTTACCAACTATAAACAGTTAGAAATAATATCTGGAAAAATGTGCACCATCCTTAGTAGAGTATAATTAGAATGATGTTAAAGTGGAATGAAGTTAGCCATCCTATAACTCTTATACTTATAAGCTGCCACTGTACTTAATCAGAAAAAAAGAAGGGGGAGGGGGCAAAGTGTACATTTTGCAAAATGCTTGTATATTCTTTAATAAATAAAGTCAACACTGTCATTAGTGGCAGCTCTAAGCAAAACTTCTACCTTTTTTTCCTATGGATAAGCACTCTTTGGGGAGATGAATATTGCTGCAGTCATATTGTGCTTTCAGTTAATGAGATGTGGGTTCTATTTGTTAGAGTTTTATGGTAATGAAGCTTATAATTTACTGACAAACTGGCTTGCTTTCAAAACATTCTCTTATTGCACTGACTTTTTTTTTCATCAGAAACATTGATGTGCTAATTTGTGTGTTTCTGGCAGCAGATGTGCACCTTCACTGAAAGGCTGCCAGAGTGAGGAAAGGACAGGAGAGAAAAGGAAGAAAAAAGGTTTCAGAATTTTCAATTGGTAATAAAATCCATACACAAATGAAAAATTGCAATTTATTTTAAATATCCATGAGCTCAGTAACGGTATTATCTGAAATATCAAATATTTATCACTAAACTTTGGTTGAGTTACAGATATCTTAAGTGCCAAATCCCTTTATCCAATGTGAAAACTGAAGGGCAGGATTTGTCATTTAAAATTCAATAGCTGTAACTGGACATTACGTTAAAACTAGGTGAAAAACACTTTACTTCCCCCAAAGGGTTGAAGATATTATCTTTCTAAGTAATGTGCATTACAGTTGTTAACAGTGATTTTACAGTACAGACCTTCTGGATTCTGTTTGTTTCTACCAGCTCTATTTCAATTGCATGATTCGTAGGGGTAAAAACTTTGTTCTCAAATTCCAACCTCATTGTCATTACTTACTGCCAGCTAAGTGTGGTGTGTAACAGAAATCATGCCATCTTTAGTAGAAAATTGAAATATTCTAATCAAACGTATATCATTGCTAATAAAGGACATACAACCATGATTAATTTTTCAAACACCCTCATTAAACACAAAACAAAACACAAATCTTTATGTAACACTTGTAATGAGAAAAAAATGAAGGGAGAATAAACCGTTTATGGTGCCTTCCATTTTAGTGGGAGTTAGGAAACAGGGAGGAGACTGAACTTGAAAACAGAGATTTACTGGTGCCTAAAAACTCCATGTTGAGAGGCATTGTACATAATCCCTGTCAGTTAAAATTTAGCTCTCAGAAGGTGCATGCACCATAGTGAAAGGGACCAAAACCCTAAAGCTGCCTTTTGGGATATTGATTTTAAGCTGGTTATTAAGAATCAAAAGACTCAGAAAGAGCCTTTGACCCTCCCCACTTTCTTGCCTAAGAGATTTAGATGGAAAGGCTTACTCCATTAAAGAAATTTCAGGAGTTAACCTTATCCTGATCTAAATTAAGTGTGGTACTTAGGAAGGCACTAAGCAGGAGAGTATTAATTAGATTACCCCTTGTGTCTCATTCATTCTGGGTTGTCTAGCAAAAATTGACCAGCCAACTTACAAGGGTTGCTCTTTCTCAACTACCTATAAATTGTCTACTTCCTTTGAAATCCCATCACTGATCTACCCTACCTTTCTCTTTTGTCCCAAATGACAACATATACCCAGTGTATGTATACAACCTATATATCCAATTTTACCCCTGTCTTTGGAATTTTCATGCTTATGTTAATTCTCTTTGGGCATGTATTAAAATTTGATTTTCTGCCCTGGCTGGTGTGGCTCAGTGGATTGAGTGCCAACCTGCGAACCAAAGGGTCACCGGTTAAATTCCCAGTCAGGGCACATACCTGGGTTGCAGGCCAGGTCCCCAAGTAGGGGACATGCAAGAGGCAACCACACATTGGTATTTGTCTCCCTCTCTTTCTCCATCCCTTCCCCTCTCTCTGAAAAATAATAAAATCTTTAAAAACTTTTGATCTTTTCCTTTTATTCTGTCTTTGATAATTTTAAAAAAGATTTTAGGTATTTAGTTTTAGAGAGTGGGGAAGGAAGGAAGGAAGAAAGAGAGAAACATTGATGTGTGAGACATACACTGTTGGTTGACTCTCATGTGCCCCCCACTGGGGACCTGACCTGCAACCCAGGCATGTGCCATAACTGGGGATGGGAACCTGTGACCTTTCAGTCAGCACTCAATTTACTGAGCCACATCAGCCAGGACTGTCTTTGTTAATTTGATTCTTAGCTCAGCTAAAATACCTTAGAATGTGCAAGGAAAAAGGGCGCTTTTTTTCTCCCTTCACAGTAGTCGCTTCAGGAAATTGAACACAAGTTTCTCGGGAGAAAGACTCTGTAACAGGGTGCAGCCAGAAGGGGGCCCCCCAAAAGGATTTGGGATGGGGTCCAGAGCTCAGGGTGTCCAGGAAATATTAAGATGGCCTTACCCCCCCCCAGGGGGAAGGG